AGATTGCCATATATAACAATTTATCTGATTTTTTTTTTCTTTTTGACTTTTGAATCAAATTATTTTAAATGTAAGAAACGAATTTTACAGATTGTAAGTGGTAAGTTTAACATTGTACACCCCTCTTAATTTCAGATATCCGATGCAGAGACCTTATGTAATTAACCCAAAGGTTAATCATACTAAATTCAAAACGTTGCTATTAAATTATGAAAAAAAAATGCTTAGGCCGTGATAACATTAACATTTGACCAAGTCACAACGAAGAACAGTACGGTTATTGGAAGTCGGCCAATGGGACGCAAACTCTTAACGCCACGCCCACTCAGTTTGGTCGATGGGGCAAACAAATACTTGGCCCGATTTTAAATTTCGTCCCGTTAAATTGGACACGGTTGATAATATTTCGAAACGGGGTGTAACACGTGTAAATGACCGCTTCTGAGAAGGTTGGGTAGACACAATTTTGCTATAAATCCCATATGGTCCATTTTGTAATAAAAAATTTATAATATAATAGTTCATAAAAAATCAGGACAAAACTTACAATATTTCACAAAATTTTAACTTCAGTTTTTACAAAATGTTTTTGGTCAAACAATTTTTATAAATATTTTAATAAACGAGACTCACCACAAACTTAGTATAACATTTGCCTCTTAAAACTAAATTTTAAATAATCAATACAATATAATAATAATTTATTTTCATTCATACTTGAAGAGTAATAGTAATTTTTAATTATGTGTATGTACAATTTATAAAAAGCCTTTTCTTCTTGTATTTTCATATAACGGGGTGTCCCACAAGAGATTTTTCTAGGGCCCTTCTATTAACAATATACACAATCGACACTCCATTTTTTCCTAATAGCGTTATAAGCTTTCTGCAATAATATTATTTGCCTTTTATCTTGATTTTACACAACTTTAGTTGGCTAAATAATCAATGTAAAATAATAAACATTAATTTTCATACATTAATTGAAAAATAATGTTTGATCAAAGTTACCAAACCCACTTCTGGCACTTATTATAAAAGAATGTTTTATTCGTAATCAGTTTTGGCTCTTCTTCTTACATTCCCATTAAAGTGAGTCCCAGGGGAAAATCGTAGGGCCCTTATTATTACAATATACACAGTAGACATTCCTTTTTTTCCCCAATAACATTATATGCTCTTTACGACAATGCAATTATTTTTTTCGTGACTTTACACAACTTTGGTTGGCAAAAATAATCAATGCAAAGTAGTTAACATTTATTTTGATTCGTTAATTGAAAAATAATGTTTGAACAAAGTTACTAAACCCACTTCTGGCACTTATTCCAAACAGATTTAAAATATTATCCGTTTTACTCAGTACTAATATAAATTACCAATTATGACAAATTTTTCACGATTAAAGTAATTTAATTGAGTGTATATAAAATGTAAGAAGTCTCTTCTTTTTATATTCACATTAAAGTTGGTGTTCCCCAGGGGAAAATCGTAGGACCCTTACTTTTACAATATACACAGTAAACATTCCTTTTTTCCCCAATAACATTATATACTCTTTACGAATGATAAAAAATTTTACTCAGGCCTATTATAAATTACCAATTATGACAAAATTTTCCCTATTAAAGTAATTTAATTGAGTATATATAAAAAGTAAGAAGGCTCTTCTTCTTACATTCCCATTAAAGTGAGTGTCCCCCAGGGGAAAATCGTAGGGCCCTTATTATTACAATATACACAGTAGACATTCCTTTTTTTCCCCAATAACATTATATGCTCTTTACGACAATGCAATTATTTTTTTCGTGACTTTACACAACTTTGGTTGGCAAAAATAATCAATGCAAAGTAGTTAACATTTATTTTGATTCGTTAATTGAAAAATAATGTTTGAACAAAGTTACCAAACTCACTTCTGGCACTTATTCTAAAAAATTTAAATACTATCCGTTTTATTCAGTACTAATATAAATCACCAATTATTACCAAGTTTTCACGATTGAAGTAACTTAATTGAATGTATGTATAAAAAACGTAAGAAGTCTATTCTTCTCACATTCCCATTAAAGTGAGTGTTCCCCAGGGGAAAATCGTAGGACCCTTATTATTACAATATGCACAGTAGTCATTCCTTTTAATATAATAATCAATGCAAAATAGTTAACATTTATTTTGATTCGTTAATTGAAAAATAATGTTTGAACAAAGTTACCAAACTCACTTCTGGCACTTATTATAAAAAGTTTAAATATTAACCGTTTTACTCAGGACTAATATAAATCATCAATTATTACCAAGTTTTCACGATTAAAGTCATTTAATTGAATGTATATAAAATGTAAAAGTCTCTTCTTCTTATATTCACATTAACGTTGGTGTTCCCCAAGGAATTATTCTAGGGTCCTTCTATTCACAATACACACAATCGACACCCTTTTTTTTCCTAACAACATTATATGCCACTGATCCTTCCTTAACTAGTCATAAGTCTCAATTAAAATATTATTTATCTGGCTAAATAATCACTACGAAGTAATAATTATTTATTTTGATTCGTAGGGTGAAAAAAAAATTTGGATCAAATTCACCAGCTCTGCATGTGCGCCTAATATAAAAAACTTCAGTTCTACTCGAGACTACTATAAATTACTAATTAATTATGACGATTTTTTCTGAACTAATTTATAGAATGTAAGAAGGCTGTTCTTTTCATATTCCCATTAAAGCAGGGTGTCGCCCAGGGCTAATTTTTAATATATGTTAAGCTTATTTTCACTTTGATACCCCTTATCACCCGTACATTTTTTCTAAAATAAGCATAAAATAAAACGCTTTAAAATTACCTTAATTTATTTTATGAAGATAAAAGCCGTTTATCACATAAGATTTAACTTTATCTAGTTACTCCTAAATAACCCTATTTTTGGAAAATAAACAAATAATAAAAATATTATAAGACTATCTAATAAGAAGGTTTGATACTTTGTTACATTATCCTGCAAGTTTTAGGCTTTGTTGAGGACACACTTGATAAAGTAGATATGACTGTCGGTTTTGATGCATACTTTACGTGATTTTATTTATAGGCCGAGCAGATTCTTTCATAATTTGAGAAATTGTACCAGACAAGAGGCCGCTAAATTTCCTTTATAAACTGTCATTTATTCAATCCGGGAGCCCCTCGCCGGGTCAGCAATTTTCTAAACAGGAATAACATATGCACAGCAATGATAAACTGACAGAAGATTAATTTGGATTCATTTCGGTGTACACTGTCTGCCCTATAAAGGTAAACACTCCCTTTTCCCCGTGGATTAAAATCCCCTGCATTTATTTCCGGACATCCAATAAACAGGCCGCCACCGTAGTACGTGATCCTCAATCTATCCTACAAATGATTTACATGAAACATTTATGGACATAATGGCAAAAATCCAAAATTCAGTACTATATTCATTCTACTGTTTAAACTGGAGCAAGTATTTTCGGGTAATTTTTCTTCCACCAATGAAAAATAATTTAAGCGGAACCAAATTTTTTTTAAAGGCTCAACACCCTACTGACTTCAATGTCCAAAATCCTTGAAAGACACCTTTATTAAAGCGCTTAACACCCACTCTAGATACTCATAAAATCATTAAATCATTCCTTCTCATTAATTCGGCTTCAGTCCCCATGACTTCACGCTCCAACGAGGTTTCAGAGTTCTTCATTCTATCTCATCTATTCTAGAGCAAAAAGACTATTGCTTTCGTGCGTTTTTAGATGTAGCTTTATGTAGGGCGTGCTTTATAAACTTAAACACTTCAAAATTATCCTCAAATCTTATCTAATTGACCGCTGCTTCAGAGTACAATGAGTACTTGGAAATCAGATACAATCCGGCGTCCCACAAGGAGCATTCTTAGTCCCTCCATTTTTATCATTTATACTGCTGACCTACCGATACATCCAATGCCATCATCACCTACGCGGACGTTACCGCAATTTTGTCCTCTAATTCGAATCCTATGCTCGCTATCTCCGACAGCCAATAGCTTGAGCGTATTGACTGTACAAAAAGGAGAGGACAAGACAATGAAAAAAAAATGTACTTCGTAAGTTCACATTGAATTGACAATCTTGCCTTCCATTGCATATCAACATCAAAGAGATTTCCACTCAAGACTTAAGAGACAACAACAGAAGACTTGGGATGAACTATCTAGGACCGTCTTGACCGATAACACTAATATAACCTTATACAAGACCTAATGGTTACCGCTTCTGACTAAGGAGTGGAACTGCGGTGTTCTGACAAATCATCCAACATCAAGAGTATCCAACTTCCAACCAAACCTCAAACATCGTCAAAGCTCCTTACTACTAACCTCACTATTCCGATTGTCGACCTCAACATCACGTTGTCAACGAACCAAAAGATTCACACTAACCTCGCGATCCCAACCCTAGTACTCGAGCCCTCTTTATAAATTCGCATTCCAAGAAACAGCGATGACCTCAGACCTCCTTGTCCTTTAATCCTTCAGACTCAGTGCCAGAATTGGCCGGTTTATCACGGTGGTGTCCTCTGGGTGCAGCGCTGGCTTTTGCGTTTGTGCTGTGACGTGTTAAACAAAATTTTAATCACATTTATAATAAGTACGAATATGACTATAGGGTATTAATAAAATAATTATAAAAAATCCTTTACAGGCAATGGTTTGAATTTAGAAATCAGCCCTCCTACCTTTAATACACAAAATTTGCAAGGTGGAAGAGCATACATTACAAAAATTCTATAAACGTTAAAAATTTCCTTTATACGAGTCAGGTGGTTAAATAGGTTAGCTTCAATATTCATAAATATCTTACCCTAAAAGGATGATACACTAGAAAGAAAGCATGTACTCTTAATGTCGGAAAAACTCTCATTTGAACTTACCAGAGTTTTCCATCTTACTTCCTTGTTATTTCAAAAATAAATCTAAAACAATCAAATTGTCGTTTTGTTTTAGGTCAACACATGAAGAAAAGCTCTATGTCCGAGTCGTCGTCCGACATAATGGAGCTGGAGGAGGGCCTTCTCCTCACGAGGGATATAGCAAAGAAGCACAACAACTGTAACCCAAGGCACAACAACATTAATGCCATGAGCATTGAAACTGACGTCTGACTAGTGGGTGAGTAAGAAAATCCCCCTTAAAAAATAAAACACCGAACTCCCTCGATATTTTCCTGAGGAAACTTTCGCGATGTTTTCCATCTCCCGTGGATCCAGAGAGTTTTCTTTACTCCAAGTGACCTAGGCTCTGAAGCATGACATTTTCTTTTGGTTCTCACAATGTGTTGTTTTTTGTTTTTTGGTGCTTACCATTGTTTTGATGAGAAAATCATCGCATTAATAAAAATCTACGTATTTTGTATTACAAAGTTTATTAAAAACAATTAAAAATAAAGGGTTGGTATTTTATAAACCGTCCGATCCTCGTGGTGCATTTTTCTTTGGAACCGATCTCAGATCAATAGGGAGGAGCGTGATTTTCAAGAACCCGCCCCGGCGAATACTGGCGTAATCACAAAACCGTTCGAGGAAGTCCTCGCAATTTAAATTTAAAATTGAACTCTTTATTTTACGAGATGGATCACCTCCTCCCAGCTGTTTTCATCGACAGATGGGATAATGGAGTTTATGTCAAACTAATGGTGAATCCATGTTTTAACCGCTCCGCCCGCCAGCCAGAAATGTTGCACGAAGGATAAAACAAGATTTTGGTAATTACTTAATTGTTTGGAGGAGTTGTGCAAAGCCCAAATTTTACTTGGAGCTCCCTCTGGGGAGTTAGAACTGTTTTATAATATCCATTTATCTATGTTTAATATTTATGCTAATGATTTTACACCACCCCTAAACTTTAATCATATTTTTGGTGTAAAATTTATTTAAAAAAATATTGATACAACTCTAAATTGTATTCGGCAATTTCTTCCCTATCTGAATTTATTAAATTTAAACTTAAGAAACACTACTCAATTCAATGCTTCTGTTGATAGAACAGCATTTTCTATCCATATCAACCGTTTTTATTTGAATATGAAATTTTCAAAACAATTCTGTCGGACTGTGTCGACATTTTGCCATCATCATTGTGTCTGCGTTTTCTTTTCTTGCTTGACGTTTTTTACAACAATCCCAACCGAAAACACCTCGTCGAAATAATTTATAAAACTCGTTTTTCTCTATATTTATTAAATTGAAAGTTACCTAAAATCTAACTTTTGCGAGTGACATTCAAGTTGCATAAAACTGTACATCCTATCCAAATTAATTTCCTTTTCAATTTGAACTTGAAATTGCCGCAAACTGTACAGACCATTCTTATCAGCTCGTCGTTGAACTTGAATTTACGTAAAGCTGTATGATCCCTGTATATCTGATCGTCTTTGAACTTGAAGTTACTTAAAACTGTACAATCCATTTCCAAGAAGTTGAACTTGAAGTTACTTATCACTGTAAAATCCCTTTTTCATAACGGCTCGTCGTGGAACTTGAAGTTTCTTCAAACTGTACTATCTTTATTAATATCTGATCGTCTTTGAAATTGAAGTTACTTAAAACTGTACAATCCATTTCCAAGAAGTTGAACTTGAAGTTACTTATAACTGTAAAATCCCTTTTTCATATCGGCTCGTCGTGGAACTGGAAGTTTCTTCAAACTGTACAATCTTTACTAATATCTGATCGTCTTTGAACTTGAAGTTACTTATAACTGTAAACTCCTTTTTTATCAGCTCGTCGTTGAATTATAAGTTTCTTCAAATTGTATAATCTTTACTAATATCTGATTGTCTTGGAACTTGAAGTTTCTTCAAACTGCATAATCTTTACTAATATCTGATCTTTTTGAACTTGAATTTACTTAAAACTGTGCAATCTATTTCCAAATCGCTTCTGGAACTTTAAGCTTGTTCAATTCATACCATCTCCTCTTTGATCTTGAAGTCGTTGCGAACTGTACAATCCATTTCCATATCAGCTCACCTTTGATCTTGAAGTTCCAATAATCGAGAGGCTTTTGTGCGTCAAGAGCACGATTCGTAGATGGCCCCCCGAGAACTTGAGCCGGAAACAAGGAATCGTCCTTACGCGATTAAGAATAGGCCATACACGGTTGACACACGGGCACCTGCTCTTGGGCCAAAGCCCGCGCAGGTGCTCCTTATGGAGAGAAAGGTTGCTCGATGTGTCCCACATACTGGAAACATGCCATGCCTTGGCTCCCTACAGGGAGCGTGTAGGCATGCCATCCAATCTGAAGAGGGTACTCGAGCCCTGCAGCGAGTTTCAGGGTCCCCTGTTCCGCTTTTTAGGGGATTTTTTTTTTAAATATAATATGTCTTATGTGTTGTGTGTCTATATGGTTTGTCTGAGTGCATGTATTTATTAGCGTGAATGGCGAGGAGTGAGAGTGAAATATAACATCATCATCGCCCCTCGAACGTTGAGAGCTTATGCTCGGGGTCGATGGCGGAATATTTATAAAAGTACTCCAATCTAGATTAGTTTGAGTATAGGTCGATAGAAAAATATCTAGTACTCCACCGACCAAACGGAATGAGTGTATTGTAAGGATGTATTTATGTGTATGAATGTATTTGTTTGTATGAATGTAGTGTTTGAAAGTGTAAATAGAATATTGACTTAATTGGGGGCTGAAATGACCTAGATTCGGAAGCCCCAGTAAAAAAAATCAACTGTTATTATTAAATTTAAAAATATTAAAGTAAAAACTAATCGTACAGTTCTTAGGAACTTGTTTTGAACTTGGAGTTTCGAAAAACTATAGGTCGCTTTCCATAACAACTATTTTTAACATATCCGTATCGTGAGGAAAATAGAATATTTGTAAAATTGAAAAAAAATTAAGGAATTCGATGGGATGAGGTTTTCTGGACTTGAGGATGGTGGTTGGGAGGGATTTATGTAACTTGGGATAACGGGAGCGGATTACATCTTAAGCAAAAGGAATTTTTAGGTCTGTATGAGTAGTTTCGTTGAACCCATAAAACGGAGTAACGAGGATTTTTCTAAGAAGTATGGATTGGGCAGTTTGGATACTTCCATTCCTTATGTCCATACTGGCTTAACTCCGGTGTTAGAAGCAGTCTTTCATTTGTGAGAATCAGAGCTATTATGAGGAAATTGTGAAAGTGTCATAACTTCTTGACGTTTTAGTGATTCCACGTGAAACGTTTGTTTACATTTATTATTTTCTGTTCACACTTAGATTCCAAAAGTGTTGCGTGTCTCAGGTTTTCGTGTAGAAACCACAGATTCAGGGTTAATGGCCATTACTTATAGCTGTATCGTTTGCAAAGGTTAAGGTGTGGTTTTAAAACGGGATTGGATGTCAGCTGTGTAAACCTGGTAAAGTGTTGGCGCCAAAACGCTACCCTGAGGAACATCGTATGGCTGGAGAGGGACATGACTCGGAAAAACCTGACAGTGATAATGAAATAATAAAAAGAAGGTGGAGGGATGGATTCCCTTGAGCAGGAACAGCAAGCAAAACATGATCAGAAGATTATTTAGCATCCCTTTGAACTTGACCTTTTTCCTTTTCTTTGAACTTAAGTTTCGTAAAACTGTACCAGCTCTATCCATATCAAATACTGTTTTTGAACGTTTACTAGTTTTTTTTTTAATTATATATTTATTCGAGCGAATTCGTTACGTTCTTCAGCAGCTACTTGACATATTGACTTAGAAAGTACAATAACTTTTATGCTGATTGGTAATTGCTATAATCTTTGAAATATAATATTGTTTTTGATAGACCAAAAATCAAAATATCAACCCTATTTATTTCTTGTGAAAGAAACGAATTAAATACATTTATAATTCACAAGTGGAGAAATTTTCTAACTTTGGCCAAGTTTTCACATCCAAGATTTAACAAAACATTGTATTTATTAATAATTATTAAATTAATCCATATTTGTTTAGTGGTTATGGTTGACCATATTTATTATTCCAATTAAATATTCTTTTTATATGTGATTTGGGTTGAGATGAAAAATTAGTGTCACGAGAGGGATTCGAACCCAGATGGGGAGTTGGTGTCCGAGGGAATAGCTCAAGTGGTTAGAGCAGCGGCGTATTGACCGGAAGGTCGTGGGTTCGAATCCCGCTCGTGACACTAATTTTTCATCTCAACCCAAACCATAGATAAAAAAATATTTAATCGGAATAATTAATATGGTGTTTGTAAATCCCAGGCCCTGAAGATGATCTCAATAAAGATCGAAACGTTGGCACGATAAAGAAAATGTTTTTCTGAAACCTACATCACACCAGTCCGTATCTCACGATTTCTTAACAAAAATGGTCAACTATGACCACTAAACAAATATGGATTAATTTAATAATATTTGTTTATTGGTCATAGTTGACCATAGTAATTATTCTAATTAAATATTCTTTTTATCTATGGTTTGGATTGAGATGAAAAATTAGTATCACGAGAGGGATTCGAACCCAGATGAGGAGTTGGTGCCCGAGGGGACAGAAGTGGTTAGAGCAGCAGCGTATTCCGCCGAAAGTCGTGGGTTCGAATCCCGCTCGTGACGCTAATTTTTCATTTCAACCAAAACCTTAGATAAAAAGAATATTTAATTAATAATTATATTTGGTCACATATTATGTGTAACGTCCGTTACGATGACAGTTCATCGAGGCGTGTATCATTGTTTCAATGGACTTTTTCACCCCCGGAAAGCTGGAGATTTGTAAATGGGCAAGTTGTGAGAGTCAAACAATCACGTAATTAGTTTCCTTTGCTCCTTGTCTTCCCACTTATCCACTTACTGATCGGACTTCCGTTCCCTCGGAAATCCAATCCAGGAGGCTCCCCCGTCACATCCGCCGGCCTCCCTCACCCAGTCTTCCCTCATCCTTGCCCCGGTCCTTCCCGCTGCTCTCCATCACGTCGAGATCTCTTCCGGGATGGCGTACTCGAAAACAGCCGTTCCCGTCGATTTTTCCCCCTGAGTCATAGTGTTGAAGGAAATCGTGGAAAAGACCTTTCTGATTCTCGGCTGAATCAGTAAGCAAAGCAAAATTATGGTAAAAGAGAGAGAGAAGAAAAAGATGGCTATGTACTACCTATACAGATGAATAATA